CAAAGATGAATATACAGAATGACTGTGAATTGTTATGGCTGGCGAATAGAATCGGGAAGGGCATCACAAGCAAATTAAACGAACTCACTTGCGCAGTTCCCATTTCTCCCTGGCGAAACCCTTCTCAATTGACTGAGAGATCGAATGCTCCATTAGATCCACATAACGCACAACGAGCGGCGAGAACTGTTGAACTAGCTTGCTGTGAAAAACGCCATTTTTGAGGGTTGCTGCAAGAGACACCCAGTTTTCACATACGTTTAAGACAGATTCTCTCAGACATTTCAAACATCCTTACGCTTCTTCACCAATTCACAGTCCGCATTTTAAAACGATCCTATTGATCTGGACTGATAGCTGTATGAAATGTTGTTGTACTGACGAGATAAGTATGCAAGAACTCACGTTCACTGCACAAGAAATCATTGAGAAGCTGAAACAACGGAAACGAATCCCATGAATCTTGTGGTTGAACTTCAAGCGCTGCGTCCAAATCCACCGAGAATAACGACCAAAAAATTTCTGAATGATCCGCCAACAGATCACTGAACCATGCGAATGCCTTGAACGAAACGAAGCGATCAACGAGTTTCTGAGACATGTGTGTGTGTGTGCTAGGGTAAAATGCGTGAATGATCACTTGCAACGGCACACATTATTGTTGAACAACATTTGTACATTCTTGGACACATGAATACATCGTGGCATCATGACGAACGGTGGCACTCAGTTTGGGTGGAATATCATGTAAAACTTACAGCATAGTAATACTTTACAGACTGAATCTATTATACGATGAGTCTTCATAGGAAAATAAGCTTACTGATAACTCTGATAACGGTCAATGGGGTTCAAGCTGGCCAGTTTATCCCTCCTCAAATATTTGCACTAGATGATCGCACAATGGTTCAAACGAGATACCGATGAATAAGCTATTATGGAACCATAAAAGTGATCCTCTTTCAACAATTCTCCAATCAATCAATTTCCAATTTCTTCAACAACACGTGCAGTGTGAGATGTATTATCTTCCCGTGGGTAATCAGTCCCGTTACGAGAATACACCTCTTAATGACGGGATCAACACTTACGGTGAAGATATACTGAGGGGATGAAAACAGGGTGGCTGCACTATGGTTGAATAAAACATGGGCGTTACACCATCATATGGTACTCACCCTTCTAATGAAAAACTACTTTGAAGCGTTCAGCCATGCAATTGAAGCATAAGCAATTCAAACAGCAATTCATAGTGTCCAATCATCAACTACACATTCTGGATTTTTAGCACAAACCAGTAGAAATTCATCACCTTGAATGCTCAGCTAGACCATAAACTTCAATGTATCTTTTCGAATGCCGACAGCATGAAGCTGCTCTTACTCTCTGTTTACATTATTCTTATGTCGGATGTTAAGCCAATTAAGTTTTTGTAAGGGTTTCAAAGCACTCACATATAATCAACGTAACTGATTTGTAGTGAATAGTTTGTGCACATTTAAAACGCGTACGATTTGAACAAACAAACTGCTTGCACAAATTACAAATTCATTCATGTTCAAGACAGCAGCAAACTCTGCGGCACATTTTAGNTATAAGAGATTTATGTACAGTTCTAGCAGATTGTTAGAGAACCCATAGCAAGGCGTGCAGTAAAGATGGTAATCTGCAGAAATCACCTGCAAGTGTTGATCTGAGAAAGTCGCGCAGTAAAACGAAAGAATTTCTATTTCAATCTCTTCACATGCGATTCATTTCCTCATCTTCAACAATCCTCAAACAAATATTGCAACTCGTGAATCTCCCATTCGCCGAAAAGACAAAGACGAACCAACTTCAAACTATGCGCGAGTGCAGTAAAGCAGCCTACTTACGAAGAGCGATCATCCTTTATAATCTCAACAAATTGAACATACATCCATCACTCTACATCAATTAAAATTTCAAACAAACAGTTCACTCAGTATCTCGAACGGCACTCAAAGTGGGACGATCAGTTTCGATCAGTTGATTTTCTAGCGAACTTCTGCTCACTAACGAAAAATTCTTTCATGGCTATTCCACAGAAACAGTTCAAAGCATTATAAGCGACAATGAATGTTTAGCGGGTAGAAATCGATGGTGAAAATGCGGCGGCGGCAATCAAAGCCAAATGGTGGTAACGATAGTAGGTACAGAACAACATGGTGATTTCCAATCATGAGGATTCACCGTGTGCTGGGATAAAGAAAGCTGCTCAGAGGAATGTTCAAAGCGATTTACGGATGGATTATGAATTAAAGGTAGGATTTGAAGGGAATGAACGTCAACGTGGTGCATTAATNTTGTGACTGGACTAATGATCATCGATGAAATGTAACCCCTAAACAGATTTTTATTGTTAAGACGCACTGAGATGGCAAATCGCAACTGTTGTTACTGATGGACATGTGCGGTCAACAACGCTTCTAACAGGTCAGTTCGAATAGTTGAAATGAACAGCGACCGACACCCATCAGAAGGACAGAGTGCGAGAACCATCTTCAGTGTGATGAGATAGATTCTTTGGGAGCATCTTTTTCTGTGGTGGATTTGAAAAACATTTTCAAACAGCATGCAAATCAGCTTGAAACAGATCAACAGTACACCGGCCGACTCAAGAACAAGAAATGAGAAAATTTCCTCTAATGTTAACAACTGAAACATGGATGTCCTAAAACGGTTCTGAGAGCATTGCAAAAAAAAACAAAACAAATTCGAATGTGGGCATTGGATCGATCGGTCATGCAGCGTTTTCAGTGATCAATGCAGCTAGCTTCATGCTGTGTTGCATTTGTGCCCTGGAGACTGGCTCGTTTCAACGTTGACAGATCGAGCCTAGTGACAACTGATCAATTGACTAGTGAAAATCTAGCAGACGTGACTGTGGATGTGTCAAAATTCACTACTTCCAGCATCTCATTGCTTGTGTGCTCTACGTTAAGCAAAATATGGTTCACCGCATTGGGTCACCTCAGAAGGCGACTTACCCCTCGGAATTGCTGAAATGTTTTCATTATTCAATCGATTTCATTCAACAATGTCAGTAACAATAACACACAAACCTATCCTTCCCTAACCACTTCTTCAATAAGAATCGATCCGCATAATTTACCAATCACTTCGGAATCATTTTTAACAACTACGATGAAACCAGCAAATATGCTATTTTCAATGCCTAGCGAGTTTTTACTCGACTCGTTGTGAATGAAAAGATCAAGTTACCTCGCCATGATGTTCCTCGTTCTCCTTCAGAAGGTCGATGCAATATTCAGTGACTCGTATCATATCTTCTATTCGTTGTTGTGGACTCACATCGACACCCATACGTTCTGAAGAAAACAAAAATGCATAAGCCGAGCTCCATTCACTTCATAAAAACCAAGCAAAGGGAACGTTGAAAATAAGCTGAACGCGATCTAGTTGAGTGATCAATACGCACCAAACGAACTACCCAAAAACAACTGCATTCATTGCTGCTTAAACACTACGGAATGGAGTGTGCTTGGAGCAAACCGTTTTCGGTTAGCAAGAATCGCTAAATTTGAACTGTCCCAGGAGTTGTTCATCTAGAACGGAGCGTTAACAGAATGGAAGCTTTTGAATATCACACAACGCGAACAACACTCAAATATTTTCAACACATTTCCCGAATACTACTGTCACAGGTGCTGGAGACGACTAGGAAAATCGTTATTTCTTGGTAGGCGGCACCCTTAATTGATGCGCGAATGTTTCGATGAGAACCTCTGGTGACATTGATACTGGAACTGGGACTGAGAATACTTCAGACGATAGGTTCGATTGAGCAATTCTTTGCGTGCCGAAAACTAACAACAGCAACGTGACTCAACGAAACGACTACGGAAACGTGAGAAGAACAGTGCTCGAATAACTGAATGAATGATGATCGCATTGAAATTATAAATATTCTAATGACACTACCGACTAACGCACTCACTCAAGCATCGCATCGTGCATGCGCCATTGGTGATTCAAGAAAGCCGCACAACTACGGTCATCACTTCATGCATTCCTATTCGAGGATCATGAAACACTACTCAGTGCTGATGCAATCACAAATGAGTCAATCCATTCGATACCAGGTTTGAAAACAAAACCTTTTCATCAATTAGGGCAATTCAGATATATGGATCAATTGTTCATACTAGAAGCCCTTGCTAAAGTAATGGTTTATGCGAGAGCAAATCATTTGCAATTTCTACGAATTCGTCTAAGTGTTCTAATCTAGCGCATGCATTAACAATAGTAATGCATGCATAACCGTATTTGAATAACCTTGGTGTAAAAGCTCACGCTCAAGCTTTGCTTCGTTGCATATTCGTGTGTAATTCACCAATGCCGCATCTTCCAGGCATTTTCGAATCACATTACGTACTTCATCCGGAGGCACTGGTGAAACAACATCCTTCATCAAAACCTTTAAAGTGTCTACTTGATTACAGTCTCACGAGGAATTCACTCATAACGCTACCTATTCTGCTGCTCTTCAAATAATAAATTCAAGTGAAATCTTTTAGATTGGTCTTCCATAATTTAATGCACTAGGTCATAAATGCCACGATAGGGCGTCTTCCCTAATGCATTCAAATACTCCAATTTATTCGCTGAAGAATTTGCAATTTTATTTATCAAAATACATCCATATGAATCAATCAGCGATTTTTTCCTTTGCTAAATATTGTAGATCTAAACAAAAATTTGTGCATATTCACAAATAATAAACGGTAAAATTCAGTATGCACGCAATACAGTGTGCTGATAACATTTCTTAATATAAATCCGCATGTTACTGCGGAATTATAACTACGAAATATTCAGACAAGTTA